TTCCTTGTTCTTGGGTTTTGGTGAAATAGTTTCTTTCAAGGATCTCAACTCTCGAACCCATTTAGGATGAGTTAAAGGTTTGGCGATTCCAAAGGGAGTGGTAGGGAAAGTGGGAAGATGGTTGGGACAATACATTTCAAACGGAGTTTTTTCTCGAGGATTGATTATTTTGTGGTTTGATCTGTTGGTATCTGTTTTATTAACTAGGGATATAACAACATTGTAAAAGGTTTCTTCTAATTTAAGAGGGTTGTAGCATTCTCGAAAAAAGTTTTCAAATCGAGATATTTGGAGATAATGAGAGTATGTACCTTTCTTTGCCTTTGATTTATCCTGTAACACGAGAGAAGGATGCGCAGTCAATTTCGATTGGACGATATCAAAATTAGAATGAATGCGTGAAAACTAATTGTTCCACCATTGAGAAAAACCAAGAGTAGACAAATAATTCGATTCAAAAGCATAAGGGTAGAAATGTATCGGGCTTTGTGGTAACAGTTTGGCAAGTTCCCGTCCTACATTCGATTCATTTAACTTAGACCTTGGGGAAATATCGAGAGTAAAAAAAGGTAAAGTTTGACTTAAACCAAACTGCCATGAAAAAAGTTGAGGATAATAGATGACAAGTTGGATATCCTTCAATTGAAAACCCGATACAAGAACGTCCTGGGTCAAATAGTTGCTCCATACATCTACTAGTTCCGATTGCAACCCTGGAGTAAGAGTGGAGAATTTTGATTTAAACCAGGTTGGCCCTCGAAGTCTGTCACTAACTTTTCCATGATATACGGTAAAAGGGGCCAAATTTGACTCAAAATGGAATCGAGTTAACAAAAATTTCAGGTAAGTTCGATAACTAGCCTCATCGGAGGATTTTTGATGAGAATATCGAGACGATAATCGAGCACCTTCTAAATTTAAACTTGGGGAAACTTTGGATGTTGGGGGAAGGATGCTTTCAAAGATCGAAGTGAGCCATAATTGAATGAACCAGATAGGACCCGAGAAATTCCCTGAGGGTCTTTGTGTATTCAATATCGACAGCCTCATCGAAAGTAGTATAAACATGGGCCAATAAAAGCTTTGCCAAACAAACTCTGGGTTGGCCAGTATGGAGGAGATAAGCAAGATTATAGAAATGGAACGAGATTTGGATGGATCGAGGGAAAAATACGTGGGTACAGAGCCAATATACCAGAAAAGCAACATGCTCCTCGTCAGAAACAGCTATCAATTGATCATCAACAAAATGTTTTTCGATGAAATGTCCATAAGCTTTCGATTCCCAATCGATTTTTGATTTTAGAGAGTCGTCTGAGGGGAAAACACTCTTAAAATATTTTTTCCCTGTGGGCTTTAGTCCGGTGATTGCAGCAGCTTCAAAAAGAGTGGGAGAAAGGGGACCGCAGGGAAGCTCCATTGCATGTAAATCTTTATTCCACAAATGGACTGCGGATAGAAACATGGACATATCCAAGAACGATAGATCGCATCGAGATAGATGTAGAAAATCGAAGAACCCTACATCTCTCTAGTGATTCCCAAACTTGGTCTTTACTCGATCAAACCATCTAATGTATAAAGGCTTTTTTGTGGGGAGTGCCTGTTCGATATACTTTTGAAACAACATTTAGAAAATCAATTTGGACCTCGGATTTATGAATAAGGGCTTTACTTTCTGAAGGAAGACAGATGGAAGAAGAAAACGATCCACCACAATAGCGGATGAGACCACCAAACGCATAATCTATATTATCAATGGCATAAGGGATAAGTACTTGAGTCTCGGCAATTTTCTGTGAAGCTTCTTCCATCAGGGGAACTGGAGCAAACTTTTTACCATTTATCTCTATTAGAGTCGAAGTTATCGATGAAAGTGGTGGGGTGGAGAAGTCGGAAGATTTGGAAGTTTCCATTACAGTTTGTGGAAAGGGTGAAGACGGAGAAAAGGTGTGACAAAGAAGTATGGGTTAGGTTCTTGGTATAAAACAAGGGTAAAAACTAATTGGAGTATTTAAAGAGGCCGACTAGGGTATTTGAAACGACGAAATGTGAAGAGGGTAATTAATACGTGGCGTGCGCGTTGTGACAGTGGAGGTGATGTGATTTGATATTTGACATAAAGCAGCAGAAACCCTAAAAAACCCTAGAAACCCTAAACCCTAAAAAGCTATTTTTAGCTTCGAAGAGCGTTTAAGGGAGGGAGTTATTTTGAAAGAATATAAAATTGGTACAAATATTTATATTCTTCCAAGGGGGCATTTTGTTAGTAAAAAATTGATACAAGGATCGAAAAAATGGAAAAGAGAAAATCGAAGATCATATGATTGGTTAAAAAGTTGATAAATCGGAAAGGTGGTTAGAAGACATTCGATGACCACCAGACAGTGTGAACACATAAATCAAGAATAGAAATCGAGAATCAGAAGATAGAGGAAATTCGATGAAAGTAAGAAATCGATGATAAAGTATGAAGTGTAAAGTCAAGGTTAAGGGAAATCATACTTGACAACTGGAATCGAGATCGAGGGAAACGGTTATCATGCATATGAAAACATGAGGAGTGGTTTTCAAATCGTGGCTAAGGTTAGAAATCGAGAAACGGTTAAAGCGCACATGGAACGTGGAAGAGGTTTTCTAAACCGTAAGCTAAGGTAAAAATCGAGGAACGTGCACATGGAACGTGGCGACAATTTTTTAACTGCTCTTGGGAGGTTACATTGATGGATGCCTATAAATAGAACGAAGCTTGAAGAAGAAAAGGGGGGGAATTGACAGAGAACAGAAACACAAGTGAAAAGTTTACCAGAGAACGACGAATCATGAAGTTTCTGACGATCTGATTTCCATTCTCAATGACTGTTTTTACCGCTTTCTTTACTTTCCCTGGTAACTTATTTTCAGGCATTTTACATTCATCAATTTAAGTTCCCATACTTTCAATTACTTGCCAGTTATCTTTAAATGCAATTTAAGATTATGTATTTTCAAATGCTTGTCATTTACCGTTTCTGCAATTTCGATGTCTTGTCATTTACTTTCATGCAATTTTAATTCTGTCATTTATAGTTAATGCAAATTTGAGTTTTTCGTATTTACAATTTCCTGTATTCTAATATTTCGCACTCGCTTTTGTTTTCTTTTCGATACTTTTTACTCGCTTTCTTTACTTCGCGTTTCTTAATAAAATACCAAAAAGAGCACTTTCGATTTTCAATTTGTATGATCAGTTGCATCGATAATGTTTCTCGATCTTGTGACATTTTCAATTACCATACACGTTTTGATTAAAAATTGTCGTTAGCCTAAGTGAAAAGAATTTACGTGGTTGAAATTTGATCAAAACCTAAGAAATCGAAATCGATCAAATTTTTACCAGAAACACTATTTATTTATATTTGTTCATAAGTTAATAGAAACTAAAGAATTTAAATGGAATCAATTCTAAATACAATTTAGGCTATTTTTATCTTCTTAACAATGAGATTGTCATTTAATATATTTTCTGTATGATTGTATTTTCTTTATTCAACTCTTCTTCTGCTTCCTATGTTCAAGACTTGAAGGGAAAATCAACAACATGCAATCTTGTTAACAACGTTTCAAGAACAACTTTATATCGATATCATGATTTACTTCTTCTGCATTGCATTTAATGCTAAATAAAATGTTGAAATAAATTCTTTAGACACTCTCAAGTATTTGCACTTATAAATTATATTTTCTTTGAAATAGTCTAGTGATCATGTAAGATATTGATAATTGAGTTATGAATGACAATATTTTAAAAAAATAAATAAAGATTCAACTATAAAAGAAATTTTGACTTCTTAAGTTAGAATTGCCAAGAGAATAATGAAAATAAAAAAAAATCTTAATTTTTTTTACCGATTTCTTATATAGAAACAGAAATAGTAATAAATTGATAATATAATATTAAATAATAATTTATTGGAAAAATGTATAAATATATTTTTAATAAATGTTAAATATAAAATATTAATCGATATTTGATAGATAGGCACACTTTTTTTTTTTACTGATGAACTTTAATTTATAAGAACATATTTAAAAGAAGTTACTTACAAAAATATTATGAATAAAAAAATCATTTCATTATACATAATTCACTTAATATTGTTTAAAATTATTAAATAAATCATTTCTTCCAGTTTTCAATAACTTATATATATATATAATTTATAATAATAGATTTATTCTTAAATAATTCTTAATAATAATTTAACAATAACTTTTTTGGAGATAATCTAAGTTCTTAAGAACAACTTTTGAGGAAGACTATACATAATAAAAAAAAAGAAAGGAGTTAGTAATAATTTTAGAGAATTTAACCATAAATATTAAAATGGAAAAACAACACAAATTTTGAGATTTTTTGTTTTTTTCTAAAAAAACAGAAACTAAAGTAAATTGGTATCCAAAGTTTTTGTTTTTCTAAGAATAACATAATAATATAAAGACATCTTAACTCATCTCACCAAAATTATATAAAAAGTAAGAAAATAATTTTTAATTAATTAAACTCGAATCATGAGTGACTCTTAATTATTTAAAAAACATTATAATAAATGAGCTATACCCGAACTTAAAATTTGAATACAATAAGAATGCAAAGAAATTAAGCTTTTAAAACATGTATATAATTAATTAATACAATTGAAAAAATTGTGGAAAGAGATGGTGCCTCTGATGGCGATGGCTGACCAACAGCAGCATAATCTAAAAAAATGGGAGAGAAAACATAAACAAATATATTTTCTTCTTATTATTGATGGAAAGTGAAAAAGAAAAAAATAAATAAAAGAGAAGACTTTTTGGAGTTTGATTTCAACAACTGGACACAGAACAGAAGAAGAATGACCAAGCCGCCTCTGTTGTCAAATCTAACAACTTTCTATTCTCTATCGTTATAAATAAAGATTCTTGTTCAACTTCTTCGAGTTTGAAACAAACCCACCAAAGTGACATCAAATTAGAAGATGGGGTGTGGCAATTTGTTCTTCACAATTCTGATAACTTTCTCGGTGGCGCTCATAACTTACAACATCATCATCTCAGCCAATGCCCCTCTCAAGCAGGACTTCCCTGGCCCTTCTCGCCCTTCCATTTCGGTGGATCCCCTCATCAAGATGCCACTGCACAGATCATCCTCTGAAAAGAAGAGGCTTTTTCACACTGCAGTCACTGCCTCTGACTCTGTCTACAACACGTGGCAGTGCAGAGTGATGTACTTTTGGTACAACAAGTTTAAGGACGGACCCCAATCTGGGATGGGAGGGTTCACTCGGATCCTTCACTCTGGGAAGCCTGATCAGTTCATGGATGAGATCCCCACCTTTGTTGCTCAGCCTTTACCTGCTGGGATGGATCAGGTTTTGCTTTGCTTCTTAATTCTCTTGGTACTTGCAAAATTTTTCTTTGTGGGCTGGCTTGGGTGTTTTGTGGTGGGTTTCTCTACTGGCACTGTGAATGTAATTATTCTAAAGTTGGAAAAAGAAATGAATTTTTTAAATGGGGGGGTTCAATTTCTGAATGATTTGCATGAATTTACTTATTCTTGGAGAAAAAAACGTATGAATTTAGTTGGAATAGTTTAACTGCGTCAAAAAGTTTGAACTGTTGTCCAACAACATCGTCGAACGTTGACTTTTTTTTGTGTGTAATTTCAAGTGGTATTTTGATCATTGGTTTTGGTTGGGTTATGTTTCTCTACCACAATAACTGTGACTATTCAGAGCGAAAGAAGAAAATGTTCGTACGGGTGCTTTAATTTCTAAACTGTTGCACTTATTATTTCTTAGAGATATTGTATTAACCAATGATATATACAAAATAGTGTATATAAGCAGGGGCATCTCTCATCCCTTAAGAAACTTTTGAGATTGAGTTAGGTTCAAACTCAAATCTTAAGATGTCATAGTTTATCCCAGTGATTATTGGGCCACTCGATTGCAAACCATCATTCATGCTTGAGATGTCCAGTCTTCAATATGAGAGAAATCTATTAGAGATCTCACGTTAGTCATATAAGCAAATAGTACCAACAAACTTATAATGTGGACTAACTTTGTTGAGTTATGCTCAAATTCGAATTGTATGATTTCTAAATGGTAAAAACTAGCTCTTGGAAACGTAAGCATATCTGTTCCAGATTTGGATTATGAAATGATAGTTTCTACTTTAAAAGGGTTTGAATAACTGAAGGACTAAGAACATATCAATTTAAGTCAATAACTGAAGGACTAAATACATTTTCAGGGTTCAAAATCAATAATTTATTCCTCATTCTTGTGGATTCTTACTCATCTATAACAGGGTTACATAGTCCTTAATAGACCATGGGCATTTGTGCAGTGGCTTCAACAAGCAGATATTGAAGAAGAGTATGTGCTATTTAACTTTAAATTTCTACATTCAAGAATGTAATCATTTTCTCTATTTCTTTCCCTCTTGGAATTTGGGTTTTAACTTATGTTGTACTGTGTATCAGTTATATATTGATGGCAGAGCCAGATCATATAATTGTCAAACCTATACCCAACTTAGCCACAGATGAGCTAGGAGCTGCATTCCCTTTCTTCTACATTGAGCCTAAGAAGTATGAAACAGTGCTAAGGAAGTATTTCCCTGAGGAAAAGGGACCAATAACTAATATTGATCCTATTGGGAATTCACCTGTTATTGTTGGGAAGGTATCTGTCAGTTAGTTTTCTGTGTACTAATGAGTACTCTTGATTTGGTGCCACTATATAAATTTTGTGTGGATGAATGTTAGAAATTCCTTAAGAAGATTGCTCCCACTTGGATGAATGTTTCCTTGGCAATGAAGAAGGATCCTGAAACTGATAAGGCTTTTGGATGGGTGCTTGAAATGTAATTTTATTGTTTTCCTTCTCTTATTAATGTTATCCTTTCTTAAACTCACAACAACTTGACCTTTTTATGTTTTTATATCATTGACTTAGGTACGCTTATGCTGTTGCTTCAGCTATTCACGGAGTTCGTAACATATTACACAAGGACTTCATGATTCAGGTTCAATAAGGTTCTTTCTTTCATTTTTTTTCATACGACCAGTGCTCATTAGTAAATTATACAAGGTCTTCGTCTTAACATGTAAAAGTGAATAAAAGACGTTCGATTTATGTTCATTTATTTGACGATGCCCATTATGTACACTAGTCACAAGCCCCAAAATAGTCTTGTGTAGCCATTTAAATGATCAATGATAGGAGTCAGTTTGGATAATTCTTTTGACGATCATATCGGAAAAGAAAATAAAAAATAAATCAAACTTAATTCACACGATAAATCCAATTTAAGCACCTCAACTTCTTGATTAGCACTTATATACCTTAAGATTTTGGTATTTTTCTTGGAAAAATCTTAACACGAAGGTTTTGTGATGAAAAAGTTATTTTAAGCATTAGAGGTTAATACCATTGAAGTTTTCATGTCTACCCTTCGTTGCTTCTAATTTCCAAATATTACAATAAAACGCACACTTACCTAGTCTGTATAAGCTGAATTCGTCAAAACCACTCTGTCCTTAAATTGCTAACATTTGTTTGTTTATTATGCGTGTCAGCCTCCATGGGACAAAGAAATTGGCAAGACATACATAATTCACTATACATATGGTTGTGACTATACTATGAAGGTACTGTGCTGGGGTTGAGCTCCTACACATTTTTATTCTGGTGTTCATTGAAAAATAAGGAATAGATGAAAAAGAAGGAAAACTGATTTAAATATAATTCAATTATGACTCAAGGAGCAGTACATCGAAATTTATGTTTTATAGCTTTTAGTACTGTCACTCAGTGTGTGATGTTGAATATACAGGGTGAACTGACGTATGGAAAGATTGGGGAATGGAGGTTTGATAAAAGATCTTATGATAAAGTTGCTCCCCCGAAAAATCTAACAATGCCGCCCCCCGGTGTTCCAGAAAGTGTGGTATGTTTCCACCTCCCTATGGTTTTTACTGATCTGCATATTTATCGCGCTGGTTTTCTTTTATTTTCGGACTGTTTGTACGCCTTTTAAAATATTTTCTTCCAAGACTTTTTTCATGAATCCACAGAACTTTCTTAACATTCAGTTATAACCTCTGCAGGTAACTCTCGTAAAAATGGTGAACGAAGCTACAGCAAGCATTCCAAATTGGTGGTCGTAAGGGCTACAGGTGGTTAAAAATTATAATCGTTGGAGAATGCTTTAGACCTATATGGGCCATTTTACATGGATAGGCATTGCACACGCCACTGCTTGTGTATTTTTCTAATTCTTCGTAAATAGTTGTGTTTGCCCGTGCGACGCGACAAGTCTGGGGAATTGTCAAGTGTAACCCGTGGAAGTTCACGTGCTATTTGACAGAATACTTGAGTTCGACTGCTGCTCTGTTATTTGGTTTCTATTAAATAGTGTATTTACTTTAATTTCGTTAATCCCGAAGGTGTCTAATAATTGAAGAGAAAAAGCTAATTAAAGACCAAAAAATTAAGATAACCCGGGGAAGTTCATTTACAAAACTTTCGCAGCTCATGTAGATCACGTTGCATAGTTATATACAAACTACAATTGGCACCTTTACATTGCAGTGACTTGTATTTTCCAGGCCCCATGAACACTGCCAAGTAGCCCATAATGGCAAGTCATCAGTTCATATAGCGCCTGCAATTCTTTGAACAGCAATAACATGGAATCTTTCCTTCGTCTTCATGGTTAAAGTGGTAATCATAAGTAATCTCTTCACCAGGAAATATATCCCTCTCCGCAAAGAAGACAACCTTCAAACCAAAAGCCAAGTTTTTTAATCAGCGTACAGTAAAAAAGAGATGGATGCTGACATACGAAAAACATCAGGTAACCTATGCTATGATCATGAATCATGAATGAAACAATTCCAATGTATCATGGCAAGCAAGTAGTGCCACTTTTTTCTATATCATAACCTATATGTGAGAATATTTCAAAAATCCAGTAAATTAAATAAAAAAATAGCAAATTACCTTTTTTTCATGCCTTACAGTAAATGAATAGCAATTTGGCTGGTCATATAATAAATATTTGTCAGAATCATAAACAAATGGAAACAGAAGCAATTGTTAAAACACATCACATCTATTGAAACTTCTAGCGATCATGGGCACAACACAAGTTATATCAAGGATATACGAAAGAAGTATTCACGAGTGTGGAGTTTAAATAACACAGCATGCATTGGCATAAAACTTTATTAGAATAAGGTTATTGTTTGTAAAGCACGGTAGTTTTTTGGACAAAATCATCAATAAAATCAGCGTTCATAATATACATAAATGAGGACGAAGGCATTGATAAACCAACATCCATAAGCATAGACGAAGGCATTAATGAATGCACACTAAAATTGACAAAACGAAACGAAATAAACAAGAAACAATAGGCTCGAACTTAAAGTAAACATACCAGGCATGAGTGGTTAACAAACCGAGAAATCCCCCCTTTCCTTGTAGCATCAATAATATGCTCTCTGTCTATCCTGAAGAAGTAGCAAGCACTCTTGTACTGAAGTTTCTTTCCAGATTGATAATCCTTCTCTCTTTTATCAGCCACACGCAGTCCCACAATTTCACCAATATATTCAACCACCTAGAAAAGCACAAGAAACGTACTATATTTTCGATCATAGTGTAGAGTCATATACACACTTGTAAACCAGAATCATACCATTTCACCCCGGGAAATGAATCGAGAAGTGTAAAGACCAAGACCATGTATACGGGACTTGTAAACAACAAGGCGTCTCCATCCCTTTGCTTGTTTGTACCGAGCATATTCCTTCTGCAGATAGTAGGAAACAAGAAACTCAGGACAATAGGCTGAAGCTTACCATAAAAACTAGAATTTCAAGTATACATATGTAACTTAATTTAAAAGATACATGTTTTCCGAATCCTAAAGTTTATGATCTGTTAAAGTAAGAAGTCCAGGGTATATGGATAGGCAATTTTTGTTAGGAAAACTAAAAATCTGATCTTCATGACTTGAACAATGTCCAAAATATGAGGATTTAAGTAGAGGAAGGAAGAAGGATAAAAGAAAATGAAACATTAGATTAATAATTAACTGAGATATATTACGATGTATAGTTATGATTATAAAACCTTAAGTTATACTAATCATAATACTAACTAAATAAGAAACAAATTATTAGATAAGGAAATATGAAAACTGAGCTTGAGAAATCATGAGTAAAGAGGGACGTGAGTTCTAAAGGATAAAGATAGATTACACTGGGATACGACTAGATAAGATGTAATATTTTCCATAATACTAAATCACATTTTTATAGATTAGTTGCAAATCACGGGAAAAATCTTAATCTAAAATATCAATCAGCTACTGATCAGTAAATAAAACTTTTATTTCAACAAAACGAATCTAATATCCATAAAATAAAATAAAGTAAAATAAAATTGGAGGCTATATAATACAACGAATACATACTCGACAGTCATGCTCCATATCTAAATCTGGGAATTTTGTGAGTCCCTGAGAACATAATTTCTGCCCATTGATGTGAATCCAAGCATTTAGCTGCTCCTCAGGCACAAGGGATCCAGCTTGGCAGTGACTATTCTGAAAACCATCCCATCTGCGGCCCTTATAACCCCCTACAATAATCCAGAATAAGACATAGTATCATTACATCTCAGTATTCCAAAAAAAAAATAAAAAAATAAAAGAAAGCTCAAATGGTTCCCCACTTCACACGAGAGGAGATGAAGTCCCAAAATTGCAATGAACGAAGAAAATACCCCTGCTCTGGCACAGGTGAATTCCTTTTCTTCTTGACTTCCCATTTCATCAATAGGATCATATATAGACAGATATCTAGGTTCAATAGTATGAAGCATGCATCTTCCATAAAATCCAATCTTCTCGTCATCAATACCTTCAGTCTCACTTTGTAACAGGTTCTGCACAAGTAGTTTAGAAGCAATTGTCATGAGAGTTATGGTAATGGATACAACACTCAATTTACACAGTCGAACATTTATTGACTGCATAATTCATGATAAATGTTTAAAATCAATGAAACATACATAGTTGATAATGAATTTTTTGACAACTCTTTGGTACCAAATTCAAGAAAAAGAAAATGCATACCACAGTAATGCCCAATTGTCATATTTACAGCATTAACTCAATAAAACCTTATCAAAATAACCTACCATTTGCAAAGCACTTGCAAAATACTTGCCAAACCAGGAAGATTTAACACGAGGTAAAGTTTATCATGATAGTTAAAATTGTAATTCAACATGTAGAGTCATACAATTACGTTTCCTTCACACTAGCAATTCTGATTCAAGCTCCAAACATGTTTTGATGGGATTAACAGAGCCCTAGGTCATGTAGTAGTATTTGTAATACAAACTGAAGTCCACAAACAGTAAGACCAGTAATCCTAATATATCTAGTAACTCTAGCAGTCCCATTCAAACTAAAAGTCAACACAGCTTTAAGTAGGTCATAATTAACAAATTGACAATACAAATAAAATGACCTATCTCACCAAAGACCTGATAGTACTCATGAAAAACCTTGGCAACATCCTTAGGCACATCTAGTGGTAGGGGAGAATAGATCTCAATTTTTTCAATGTTCCACGTGCACATTTTCCCTAAGAACAGATATTATTAGACAACCAACCTTAGAAATAAAAATTATAGTTTCTGAAATAGTTAAATTAAAGCCATCAATGGCAGAAAGTTGTATTATGTAAATCCCCACCTATGAAAGAAAAGTACCTTTTGATGAGCACACCAAGGATGAAACTTGACAGAGCAATCAGCCATCCTGCACTCTATACAAGAACCACCCCATCGATTGCAAATGGAACAAACCTGCAAGAAATAACTAAGTGAGAAAAGAACAAAAACTCAAATGCCACAAAATAATTAAATAATGTTAAAAACAGTTGTAAAATATTTGACCTCACATATCATTATTAAGCCAGAACAACTTGTGCGTATAATATATTATTTCTTCATTTTCATAGTTAAACACTTTCAATTTTTTTCAACTCGATATTGCTTTCTACTTGGAGTTCTTAAGACTTTCCACAAACTACTAAGCCCACATATAAGTCCCAACAGTCAATGTAAATAACAATTTAGTAAAATAACCCTGAAAAAGGCACAAAATTGTGAACTTAATGGGAGGAGGGACTAGATTTCATTAATCATTGCCTGTACTTTAACAGCAGACAAAGGAGGAACAAAGATGTCTCAAGAGATTATTTATTTTCATTATATGAATTGGTTTGTGACCTTGTTGGCAATACTAAGATACCATAGTTATTGGGCAATAGAATATATAAACATAATAATACCATATAGCAACCTACAGTATTCACACAAAATTGCCAATAATGGTAAAAGGATCAGAACCCATTGTGAACAATAAGACTTGCTGTTTAACTTCAGAAATCGGTGCTCAACCAGCTGAGCAATACAAAATTCTTGTTAGGTACTCACCACATCTGCTCTGGGACGCAAAACACCAGATACATCAAAAGCACTCATTGTGTCAACATTTAGGCACCTTGTTCCAGGAGTCCAAAGACCACAAACCACGTGAATCCATTGTTTAACAGTTGCATCAAGAACTCCTGCTGTAATGCTGTTATGAACCTTGAAATTAGAAACAGTGGTAAGGGTGTGTTGCACGTGATTTTTAGATATTTGAACTTTCACCAGATCTGTCGATGTATCAACAACTTTGGACTCCAGAAAAACACTTTCTTGATCAACTTTTGAACCTGCTTTTGAGGATGGGAATGCATCTATTTCCTTTTCAAAAAATTCACATGAAGTTGTATGCTTAGGCATGCCATATTTCTCACCATTCCACACTTTTAGGAGGCTCTTGACAATCATGTGACTCATCGTCGCTCGAGTCATGGCTCCACCTCCATAACCACAGAGGACACACGCCTTGATATTGGACCCACCAAAATGAAAAGCATGGAAAGAAGTGTTAAATTAAATCTCAAATGAAGAACTTATTCTAGAAGACTATATACGCTGTCGAAGAGGAATCACAGACAGTCAGGAATAATCATTCAATAGTTGAATGACTTTATCTTGGGTATGGACAGAGAGACACAATAAAAAACTACATAAGGAGTATAGAATTTGAAGGATGAATGTCTTCATGTAGTAGAAAGGGAAGCACAAAAACAAGACTGTCCTATATAAGGATTGAGAAATCAAATAGGAAATTTATAATGCTTATTGGATATACAATATTTTTTGAGTTGGTTCGGCATGGCCTGCAACACCATCGACTTCTTTTGGGTAATGTTGAAACACCATAGCATGCTTGATGAACCTAATAGACAATATATATGAGATATATCAAACTCTTATTTCATACAAAAAATGTGAACAGTTCAACGATTGAATATTACTTCACTATTAACATAAACATACTCTAACTAGGCATCGACAGCATTCCAACAAACAGTTGATTTTATCATTGCTTGAGCTTCGACACACAGAGCAGAAGGTATCTGAGTTTATAGTAGACATGCTCATGTGACCTTGAATAGAGCTGCAAGACAGCAATAACAATGAGACATATAGTAAGAATAACAATATGAAAACAAAACACAAGCATTTCAATGGAATACTTCTAAAACAGAATAAGTAAAAATAGGACAATTTTTAATTCTTACTTTCTACTTTTTGTGCTACACAAACCAGGCTCTCTGTCTTGAGCACAATTCAACATATCCATCACTTTGCTTTCTAGCATGCATTTAAAAACTGTGAGGAGGCATTTCTCAGGAAAATAATTATCTAACACGTACAAAAAGCTACAAATGATATTAAAGTAAGTAAAGCATGGAAGAACCATATTTCAAATGAAGAGGACGTGTGTCCATCAAATTCTATAGCCATTAATAAATAATGTAGTATAAGGGCATGTTTGGACAAATTTCTCCATAAACACTTATAGGAGAGAAAATTAAGAAAAAAAAAATGAACTTCTCCATATGCTAAAATTAGCTTATGAATAATCTACTTTGTAAAAGTTCTCATAAATTTTCTAAACTCTTATTTCTAACTTGTGCATAAACTAATTTTAGCTTCTAAAGAAGTTCATTTCATTTTTATCTTAGTTTACTCTCCTAAAAGAGCTTATGGAAAAACTAGTCCAATAAAAGGAAGCATTTAAGCCAGCATCTAACAAAATCAACAAGTAGAACACCATGGGATGTGGTACTCTAAGCATGAAAGAAAGCCAGATTTTAAGCCAAGGAATAAATAATAAACTAATTACTAAGCCATTCCAAATATGAGTCCATAATCATTCCACATCTCATCATTGTTTATTTTTAATTAATTTGCTAAAAAACATTACTTAGAAAAATAATCATGTAGCTCTGCTCAATTCACCTTTAGCAGTGAGTTCATTAATGCTTCGGTGTTTCCGATTGTCCTTGTTCTTCACCTTCAATGGAACAATTGCTCTATTTCCAACACTAACACCCTGCTTAGCTTTAGCTTTGGCATCCTGCTTGCCAACTCTCTCCATGTTTTCCAGGGACACATCAACATTTGTTTCATTAGAAATTATTGTATTTTGTGTTTCAATGTGTTCCTCACAGCAGTACCCACTATTTGTTCCAATGCTCAATATCTTCCGTTTCTTTTTTGAAGTTAGTCTAGGTTTTCCATGTGTATGGCCCAGACATCTTTTGGAAGATTTAAGAACATTGTTGAGGGAGACAATTTTTGCAGGCTTTTGCACCTCCCTAGCCAAATCCCTATTACATATTTCACCATATTTTCCACATACTAGTGGCCTTGTGATTCTATGATCATTTTCCTTCTTCCAATAGAATGGGCTCAACTTAGTATTTTCAGGTTCCTCATAAGATGATGGTTCTTTAATATGAAATTGCTCAAAGGAATCAGAAGTGAGATCCTTTCTCAATTTCTTTGTGTCAGAAACTCCAGGATCTGTGTGAATATCAGCATCAGAATTTGATTCTGACTCATTGGCAACTTTATAACTGAGATGCTTGCTCAGACGATTCTTACAAGACACAATTTTTGGTGAAAATGCAGAGCGTCTACGTTTGTTACAAGGTTGAACTAACGAAGACTTGTTGAATGATTTCTGCATTTGCATTTCTTTTGGCAAACTAGAAGAGGAATTAAAAATCCCAGCAACTTCATCATTCTTTCTATGCAACAAGGAAGGGAATTTAGAAGATAATGAAGCATCTAGAATCCTCACCACATTCCTCATTCGTTTTTTTCCTTTGACGCCCCTCTTGACTTTTTGAGATTGATTGGTTTTACAATTTCTGAGAAATAGATTAACTGAAATATGATTTTTATTATATCAATACAAAGAGATGATATAAGATATATACAAGAGACCTAAACTATTTTAGGAAATATAATAACTCTATTTTATGCTAGGATCCCTTGATTTATGGGATTGTTCCTAATTATTCAAATCTGTACAGATTACAAGGAAATATACAAATTTCCTTATTTATTCTTTCCTAAAATACTATTTGATTTCTCACACTCCCCCTCAAGCTGGTGAATAGATGTTTTCCATTCCCAGCTTGGATACAATCTTCTCAAAATTATGGCAGCTCAGTCCCTTGGTAATAATGTCTGCAATTTGGTCTTGAGAGGACACATATGGAGTGCATATCAAGTCACTATCAAGCTTTTCTTTGATGAAGTGTCTGTCTACTTCAATATGCTTTGTTCTAGCTGCACTGGGTTGTGGGCTATACTGATTGCTGACTTATTATCACAATAGAGCTTCATAGATTCTTCCCACTTTATCCTCAAGTCTTCTAAGATGATTTTAAGCCATAGCAACTCACATATACCTTGTGCCATGGCTCGGAATTCTGCTTCAGCACTGGACCGAGCCACTACACCCTGCTTTTTGCTTCTCCAAGTCACAAGATTTCCTCCAAGAAAGGTGCAATATCCTGTAGTTGACCTCCTATCCACAATTGACCCTACATAATCAGCATCAGTATAGGCTTCAAGCTTCACATTACCATTCCTTTTGAATAGAATCCCTCTTCCTGGAGTTCCTTTAAGGTACTGTAAAATTCTGTGGGCAGCTTGTAAATGGGTCTCCTTTGGGCTATGCATAAATTGGCTAATTAAACTCACTGCATAGGCAATATCTGGCCTGGTATGTGACAAATATATAAGTCTGCCCACTAATCTTTGGTACATATCTTTTTCAACAGCAACATCTTCTTCTCGCATTTCCAAGCTTTAGGTTTGGTTCTAATGGGGTACTAGCAGGTTTGCAAGCTGCCTTGCCAGCTTCCTTGAGCAAATCGATGATGTATTTCTACTGAGATATAAATATCCCTTTCTCAGAGTGGGCAACTTCAATTCCCAAAAAATATTTTAGTTTTCCCAAAGTCTTGATCTCAAATTCCTTGCCTAAGCATTGACTCAATAATTGTTGCTCTTCTTTATTATCTCCAGTTAATATTATGTCATCCACATACACCAATAATATTGTTACTCCCCCTGACTTGGAATGTTTAAAAAACAAAGTATGGTCCCCTTGGCTTTGTTTGTAACCCAGACCTGTCATAACTTTAGTAAACCTGCCAAACCATGCACGGGGGGACTGTTTTAACCCATATAATGCCTTTTTCAACTTGCAAACAGTGTTGGCAGCAACATCTTTACCATATCCCGGAGGTATCTCCATATAGATTTCTTCTTCAAGGTCTCCATGTAGGAAAGCATTCTTAACATCAAATTGTTCCAAGTTCCAACCATAATTGGCAGCAAGGGACAATATCACCCTAACCTGTGTTCATTTTGGCAACCGGAGCAAAGGTCTCCAAATAATCAACTCCATAGGTTTGGGTGAACCCTTTGGCAACTAGTCTTGCCTTATATCTCTCAATTGATCCATCGACCTTGTATTTCATCTGTATAGACCCATTTGCATCCAACTCGGCCTCTTTCCTATTGGTAAGGTGACTAACTCCCAAGTGTTGTTCTTCTCCAATGCCTCCATCTCTTCATCCATGGCTTGCCTCCATTTTCTGTCAGACAATGCCTCGAATAGGGTATTAGGTAGAAGTACGAGTGTTTAGGTTTACTAGGAAGGTTTTATGGGTAGGAGAGAAATTTTTAAAGGACAGGTAATTTGAGAGAGGGTAGAGTGGCTGTTTGGTGCATTTTCTTGTTCCTTTTCTAATGGCAATTGGGAGGTCAGGATCATTTTGGGTTTCAATTTTAACCTACACAGCTGGAGAAAAAATTGTTACCTCTTTTTGTGGAGTCGAGTTGGATTCTTGAACATGGCTTGATCCTGGAATGACCTTAGTCTTCCTTGAGTACACCAGCTTCTTACCAAATTTTCCAGTTTCAACATCTTCTTGATCGGCTTCACAATTAATTTCACTTTCTTGACCAACTTCCTTTGCTTGACCAATTCCTTGACTTGTTTCATTTGTTACAACTTCAATTTGATCTTGTTTAGGTTCAAATATCAAGTCTGGAAGAATGGGAAAACCAGAATTACTACTTTCAATATGATTTCGTTTAGGTTCAAATGTCAAGTCTGGAAGAATGGGAAAACCAGAATCACTACTTTCCTTATCTTCCCTGAAACTCTCCCCTTGAAGATAAGGTTGATGGAAATAGCCCTCTTGTTCATTGAAGATAACATCCCTAGACACAAAGAATTTTTTGGATGGGGGGTGGTAGCATTTATACCCTTTTTGAGTGGGTGAGTAACCAACAAAGACACACTTTAAGGCTCTAGGATCAAGTTTTCCCCTGTCTGTACTATGAATATGGACATATGAGATGCACCCAAAAACTCTTGGTTTAAGATTATTTGTAGTAGACAAGTTTGGATAGAAAGACGACAAAACTTCCATAGGGTTTTTTGATCCTAAGACTCTAGAGGGTAGTCTATTGATAAGGTATGTTGCTATAAGGACAGACTTCCCCAGAAATTTTTTGGGATACTTTTTGGAACAACAATGCCCGAGTCTCGATTTAATAGATGTCCATTTTTCCTCTCTGCGACCCCATTATGCTGTGGTGTTTTGACACAAGAGGACTCATGAATTATACCTTCTTTTTTACTAAAAGAACTAAGGACATGATTGAAGTAATCTTTGGCATTATCTGACCTAAGCCTCTTAATATTAACACCAAACTGATTTTTTATCATGGAGTGAAAGTTTAGGAAGACAGAATTGACTTCTGATTTTTGTTTAAGTAGGAAAACACAAGTGACCCTTGTAGAGTCATCTATAAAGGTGACAAACCACCGAGCACCAGACACATTTGGAATATTAGAAGGTCCCCATACATTAGTATGAACAAGATAAAAAGAGAAATTGATAATTCTATTTCTTATTGGAAAAGATACATGTTTGTGCTTAGTAAGTTCACACACCTCACAATGAAGACTCTCAACATTTAACTTAGTAAACAAAGAGGGAAATATAATTTTGATCACTCCAAAAGAAGGATGTCCCAACCGACAATGATAAAGCATGATTTTTTCTCTATTGGTCATCAAGGATTTAGATATGAAGGAGTGAGAGATTCTGTTCTTGCTGGGCAGACTTGGATCTACGAGATAATAAAGGCCATTCCATTCTCTAGCATGTCCAATCATCCTCCCCGAATCCTTATCCCGAAATACACAATGATCGTTGGAAAAAACAACTTTACATGACAAATCCTTTATAAGTTTTTGTATAGACACTAGGTTCGTGGACAACTTTGGGACATGGAGAACGTCTTTTAAGGTTATTAAAGGATTGATTTGGATATTTCCTTGACCAGCTGCAGTTATAAGGGTTCCATCTCGCTGTGGCAATTTTCTTGTTGCTGGGACATGGGGAATATGTGGAGAAGTGTTTGGCTAATGGTGTCATGTGATCTCGTGGCTCCAGAGTCCAATATCCAATAATGGTTAAAAGGCGTATCTCGAGACATTTAATCCAAAAGAAGGTGGAAACTTACCTCGTAGGTTTTTCCAGCTTACTAAGAATGGTTTTCACCCTTTCTATCTCCTCTTCCCTTGACATTATAGCAAAAAGGTGCGATGCAACAACAATGCAAGTCGTCGTCTTAGGATTATGAAAAATGCGAGCAGAATGTAGGCTGTCGTCTTAGGATTAAGAAAAATGCAAGCAGCAATGTAGGTCAGCCGTCTTAGGGTTAAGAAAAATGCAGCAGCAATGCAGTCGCCGTCTTAGGGTTACAAAATATGCAGCAGCAATGCAGTCGCCGTCTTAGGGTTTATCGAGCGCAGACGAGCTTCCTAGATCGGAAGCTCGATACCATCCGAGAAATAGATTAACCGAAATATGATTTTTATTATATCAATACAAAGAGATGATATAAGATATATACAAGAGACCTAAACTATTTTAGGAAATATAATAACTCTATTTTATGCTAGGATCCCTTGATTTATGGGATTGTTCCTAATTATTCAAATCTGTACAGATTACAAGGAAATATACAAATTTCCTTATTTATTCTTTCCTAAAATACTATTTGATTTCTCACACAATTAGCAGCAGAAAGCACAAAATGATTTTGATTCATTTCTTTCTTCCATATCAAGGAATCTAACAGTTTAAGATCATCAAGGAGATTGCAACATGATTCATCATTTAAGACTTTGGAACAACCATTTTTCAAGTCACTTCCAGTGGTCGAGCCCAGAAACTCATCAGTTCTTTCACTTACAACCAAATCCGACAAGGAGCCTTGATCAATACCTGACCCTTCATCAACTACAAGGTTGTTTACAAGGCCAGTGTCTACAGCATCCTTGGCACAGTAATCAATTTTGTTGACCACCAAAGATGCCTGATTAACCACAGGAGCAGAGCATCCAGAAGAAACATTAGAATTTTCTTGTTCTTTTGACACATCTCCCATATAAATCATTCTTTTGGAGCGTTTCATGGAAATGTTTCCAGGTTGAAAACCCTCTTGTCCTTCCCAATCCAAACCAGTAGTTGTTTGATTAAAAGATGTTGCATCACAAACTGCTTTCCTGACATTGCTGGGCACATCTCTCCATTGAGGTGTATGAAAACCAATTTTGGTTGAGCCTTGGTCATGTAACTTCCCACCTTGCTCAAAGTGGATATTTCTGTCATTTGAAATAATCAGGTTTCTAGTCAAATCTGAAGGCATCTTCGGAGAAGTTTCACCACTGGCATCAACAAGTTGTTTCCTTAAGTTATAACAAAGGGGTTCAGTTCCTGAGAAAAAGTTGCTTCTGCAACAGTTTACCCGAGCAGCACAAGGGTAATTGCCTTCCATACATGTATTTGATGGTTGCTCAGAGCATTTTCCATATGCACTTGATCTGATATTGTCTTTGGTTATACCGAGGCTGCAACACAAAAATTGGGGGAGAGAAAATGTAACAAAAATAGTTAGAGGTGTGTGACTCCCAATGGACAGAAAAATTTGCAGACATTGGTAAACGGAACCCAGTGTTCTGATTTGATAAGATGGAATTAAGAAAAACAATAATGCTTATCAATCAAATACCCAATAGAAATGCATAAACCAGAAAGGCATTTTTTTTTCAACAGTTGTTTTAGGTGTTTTTTCAACTCTTCAAGCAATGGTGAAATCATCCATTGTTAGAAGAGTGAATGAATGGATGATTCCAACAGGAGGCAATTTTTTTTTTCAACAGTTTTTCCAAGCTCCATTCATTCACTCTTCTGACAATGGATGATTATAATTCTATGTTCACTCACATTTAAGATGCCAAACTTATGTAGTCAACTTTCTATAGAGACATTTGAAAATCAGTTTGTACAATCCTGTCGTCAAAATTGCTAGTGAACAAATCACAAAAAAAAAAAAAAGTTGCAGTTTCTTCCAGAAGTGTCAACAAATAACTGGTACAGTACTGAGTAATCATGCAGACTGGCTTATCCCCAAAGCCTTAAGTAATATACCAGGGTAGCAAATTATTGGATGGCTTCTATACATAAGAATAGTACACATCATAACTGATAATCAATAGTCATAATCTCAAGACTCGATCACCACCAATCTAAGGGATAATTAACAAGTCAATAAAACAAAGAGTCTGATGCTGTGCTGTTTACCTTATTGTGACTGAGAAGATGCAATATATAAACCAAAACGCAGATGGAATAAATAATCAGCAGCAAAAAAAGGACAAAACAGGATGGAGAGGGTGTGTTTTACATTAAAAGAAAACAAAAAACAAATAGAATAATGCAAGAAGTTGCACAGAATAACAGGTAAACCTTCAGGTACGCAACATTTGAATTGTCCGGAGTAAGGAGAAGGCTCACCCCATGTGAAGGGGGCCATTGTTAAGGTTCCAACATAAAACCAATTGGCAATATGTGGAGTAACCTAACATGTATTTAAACTATATCAAATGACATGAGGTAGACGATGTGGAACTTTCAACACAGCCCCTCCAACGAAACCCGACGGACCAGGCAAAGGGTACTTTTGACCCAACTAAAGGACAACTTTTGGCCCATGACAATAACCGGAAAGATATTAGGCTTTGGCTCTGATACCATGTTAAGGTTTCAACATAAAACCAATTGGCAATATGTGGAGTATCCTAACATGTATTTAAACCATACCAAATGACATGAGGTAGGCGATGTGGGACAAGCCATAATATAATTTGTTAGAATTTTCAGAAAGAATGTAATTGTAAAAAAAATGGATAAACTACAATCCACAGATAGGGTTTCTGAACCCTATCTATAGAAACAAATGTATCTCCAGAAATTGTCCCCTCTAGATGTGAATATTCATATTTCATCAGAGAAGCAACCAAGTTAGTCATGCTTTGAATACGGGAGGATTTTGAACCCTGCTTTCAGTCCAATGTGGTCAAACATAAAATTTCAAAATCACTTTAAAACTTTGAGGGGTTGATGAAGAAAGGGGGAAAAGAAAATAACTTAATGGTCTCTTAATCACAATGACCATGACTTGTTTTCAATCTGTGATTCAGAAAAACAAATGCAATGCACTTCAGTTGTGTTCAGTCTGCAAGATGCACTACCATGCCACTAAAGCACACTAAAAGCTATTTTGATGATAGGTGAAAAAAACATCATTTAATGAAGATTAAAAAAGAGTACCAAATGTAATAAAGACACTATATCCTTGACTGTCGATAATGGAGACAGAATATTCAAACAAAAAATATAACAGTGATATTTACATTATCATGTACTGATCTTGCTCCTCAAAACGCATGATCCCATGCCACAAGTAACTACATAGTCGCATAGTTGCTTTAACTTTGTCAGTCTATTTGTTTACCACAAAACAAATCAAGCACATCGAAATATCAATACAATTTGGCACATAACCAAGTAAGCTAGGCCTAAAAGCAGTAATGATTTTGCACCCATGCTTTCCTTAATACTACCTAGATTAAGCCAATGGCTGATGTTTCCCCCCTTGAAAATTCAGATCACCATGCAACACTTCATTGTTGTCATTCTAGCAAAGTCATTAAATTAATTACCCCATCCCCAAAATTTAAATATTTACCTCAATAGGTCAAAATTATTTGCTTGTAGTAAGAGGTTTAGGTTTAATGACATCACTGATCATGACAGGACAGATTTCGGACTGATCACTTCAACATTGGAAAAACCTCAAAAGTTTCCCATTGCCTAGAAATAGAACCTAAAAAGGGAATATAAGTAGAGCACAACACTTAAGTTAGTTTTGTAAGACTGAGTTAGACAAAAACTCATTCTAGGATGATTTCAGACTCTATCCTACATCCACTACTAAAGGGTGACCTACAATTTTATCAAAGCACAAATCCAATAGAACTGGGTAATGAAGAATGTATATAAGTGAAGGGCACTGGCTTGCCTCATAAGTTGGTGTTGTGGTTTGATTTAGGTCCAAACTAGCATACTAAGACCCCAACACATTCAGCCTAACACATTTAAGTAAACAAATTAATTAAGCACCTGCTTAATTAGTATTTACCGCACCATAGCTTATTTCCTAACTTTGACAATTAAAATAACCAAAAAACCAAATTTATTTTCACAAGCTTCACCATGAAGTTTTACTTATAGGAAACACTTGATATTCAAAAACAGAGAAAAAGTGTTTTTAGAGGGCTTGAAGAACCCCTCTCATAGTTCTCTATTTATATAGATAAAAACTGATACAATAAGGATATTACATTAAATGCACAGTCCTAGATTACTCCTCAGAACTAGGTGCAGAGATTATCTAACACTCAACCTCCTACCTTAGGTATAATGATTACATATATTTTCTAATCTATTCCAACATTCCCCCTCAAGCTGGAGCATACAAGTTGTATGTACCATGCTTGGAACAAATGAACTCAATCCGAGGTCCCCTTAAGGACTTGGTAAACACATGCGAGTTGGTCATTTGATCCAACAAACTCGGTACATATTTCTTTTGTCAACAACTTTTCACGAACAAAGTGATAATCAATTTCTATATGTTTAGTTCTCGTGAAATACGGGATTTGATGCAATGTAGGGAGCAACTTGATTATCACAATACATCTTCATAGTTTGGATATCACAGAAGTTAAGCTCTTGAATGAACTGCTTCACCCATATAAGTTCACAAGTTAGTGACGCCATTGCCCGATATTCGGCTTCAACTGTCGATCGAGCCACTACATTATGTTTCTTACTTTTCCATGAAATAATGTTTCCTCCAAGGAAGACACAATATCCAGTGGTAGACCGTCTATCAACAGGTGAACCTGCCCAATCTGCATCATAGTACCCAGTGACTTGAATATTTCCTTTATCTTCATATAACAATCCTTGTTCGGGAACCTTTTTAAGGTACCTTAGAATGCGAATGATAACATTCCAATGACCAGCACATGGAGCCTGCATGAACTGACTAACCACTCCAATAGCAAAAGATAGATCAAGCCTTGTAATAGTGAGATAAATCAGTTTTCCGACCAGCCTCCTATATCTCTCTGGATCAGAGAATACTTCACCTTCTTCTGTTGTTAATTTCTTATTTGGGTCCATAGGACTCTCTACAGGTTTACAATCAATCATACCTATTTCCTGTAATATATCAAGAGCATATTTTCTCGGAGAGATTACAATTCCATCTTTTGATTGAGCTACTTCAATGCCCAAGAAGTATTTTAGGCTTCCCAAATCCTTGGTTTGAAAATGTCTACACAAGTACTCCTTCAATTGAGATATTCCAACAGTATCATTTCCTGTAATGGCTATATCATCAACATATACTATTAAGTAAACACATTTACCCAGAGATGTATAACAATAAAAGACTGAGTAATCTGCTTCACTGCGTCTTAGCCCAAATTTTTGAACAATGGAGCTAAATTTTCCAAACCAAGCACGTGATGATTGCTTGAGACCATATAGAGAAAGATGCAATTTACATACTAGTTCAGACTCCCCCTGAGCAACAAACCTAGGAGGTTGCTCCATGTAAATTTCGTCCTCAAGATCACCATGTAGGAAGGCATTTTTGATATCTAATTGATGAAGTGGCCAGTGACGAATGGCAGCCATTGCGAAGAACAGACGAATAGTGGTCATCTTGGCCACAGGAGAGAAAATGTCACAATAATCAAGGCCATAAACCTGTGTACCCTTTTGCAACTAACCGAGCCTTGAGCCGATCAACTGCACCATCAGGGCCGATTTTAACAACATATACCCAGCGGCAACCAACTGCCTTTTTGCCCGATGGAAGGGGCACGAGCTCCCAAGTAGCATTATGGTCAAGAGCCTGCATTTCTGCAATCATGGCTTGGCACCATCCAGGGTGATCAAGTGCTTCTTCCACATTTCTTGGAATAGCAATAGAAGATATTGAGGATAAAAGGGAACAATAGGAAGGCGACAACCTGTGATAGCTAAGAAAATTATAAATAGGATGTGGGTTTCGAGTGGAATAAGTACCTTTTCTGAGAGCAATGTGCCATCCTAAATCACCTCCACCAGGAGTCATGGTAGGAAGCGATGTTGGAGAAGAATCTAAAGTGGGGGATTCACCCTCGTCTTGGAGAACAGGACTAGCCATCGGGGTCCTATGATTGACAACATCAATTTGAGGGGAGGATGGTTCAAGAAGACTTGGATCACTACTGAGATCGATAGAGACATTGTAAATATTAGACTCAACTATTGGAATGGGAAGAACCTGCTGTATGACATGAACATCTTGAACAAAAGGAGAAAAGTAAGGAGTCTGTTCAAAAAATGTAACATTGGCAGACATGTAGTACTTCTTGGTTTCAGGAGAGTAACACCGATATCCTTTTTGAAGGCGGGAATAGCCCAAGAAGACACATTTGATAGCACGAGCAGAAAGCTTGTCTAACCCTAGAGACATATCATGAACAAAACATACACAACCAAAAACTCGAGGAGAGGTGTGAAAGAGAGGATTATTTGGAAATAGAATGGAGAAAAGGATCTTATTACTGAGAGAGGAAGATGGCATCCTGTTAATAAGAAAACATGCAGTTAAGATGGCATCCCCCCAGTGATGGACAGGAATATGAGCACCCAGCAAAATAGTACGTGCAGTTTCAACCAAATGTCTATTTTTTCTTTTTGCTATACCATTTTGCTGTGGTGTATGAGGACAGGTGGACTGATGCAATATTCCATGTGAACTCAAAATAGCAGAAAAGGTGGCTGAGAAGTACTCTTTAGCATTGTCACTTCTTAAAATTTTGATTACTTGACTGAATTGATTCTTGATTTCATTCAAAAAGGATGTAAAGATGGGTAACAATTCAAAGCGATCTTTCATAAGATAAACCCAAGTACATCGTGAATATTCATCAATGAATGTAACAAAATACCGAAAACCAAAAGATGAGATGCGATTGGGTCCCCAAATATCAGAATGGATAATAGAGAAACTGGAAGTACACTTTGATTGAGACCTTTTAAGAAAGGTAGATCTAACATGTTTCCCTAGTTGACATGACTCACATTCTAAGGTTTGGAGACCACTAAGTTCAGGACACATTCTTTTTAATTTTGACAAATGAGGATGGCCAAGCCGATCATGTAACATTTTAGGGCTCGGAGTAGCAACACAGGACACGTGGACGAGGGCCAAAAAGGTATAATCCTCCAGCTTCATATCCTTCTCCAATCTGTCTCCCCGAACCATGCTCCTGTATAACAAAAGATTTGTTATCAAAGGTTATTGAACAATTTAAGGTTTTGGTTAATTGACTTAAGGAAATTAAATTGAAAGGACAATTAGGAATAAAAAAGACAGATTTTAGGCTTATGGAGGGAGATAAGGAAACTTGACCCACTCCCTTTGAGGAAGCTTTAGAGCCATTTGCAAGGGTTATGAAATGTTGTTTTTCTTGAAAGGAAATGGTTGAGAACAAGGAGGTATTACCAGATATATGATTAGAAGCACCAGAGTCAATTACCCATGAATTTTGACCTTCCACAGATTGAGAAATGCAAGCAGTTGATGTGCTGGCAATTTGAGAGGTCTGTGCCAAGCTATTAGACTTCAACCATAGATACTCTTGGTATTCGTCCTCAGTGAACTTGGAGTTGATGGTTTCAGCCTTCGAGACATTGGCGGTTTTGGGAGGAAAACCATGCAAGGAGTAGCAATTCTCCTGTGTATGACCCATCCTCTTACAGTAGGTGCATTGGGGACGTCCTCGACCTCCACGTCCTCCTCCTCTGGTGCCACGTCCTCCTCTTCCTCGTGTGGCAACCATGGCAGATGGTTCTACTAGAGCCAGAGCTTTCGGAGTCTCAGACATTCGTACACGAATCAGACGTGTGATAAGGGTATCCATGGAAGGAACTTCATAAGTGGTCAGAAGTTGATTTCTGATATGGTTAAAGTCAGGATGTATTGCGCGAAGGATCATCACCATGTAACACTTGTCAAGCTTCTTCTTCATTTCATCCAAGGAATCGACTTTCAAGAACATCTTTAGTTCTTCCACAACCGACTGGGCGTCATTGATAAAGGACACCATATCATGATTTGTCATTTTTAGAGATGCCAGCTTATTTGCGAAATCGTAGAGACGTTGGATATCATTGGCATAAATGGTTTGAGCTTTCTTCCAAAAGGAGTGACAAGTTTTGAAGGCTCTAAGCGACATCAAAAGTCTTGGTTCCACTAATTGCCACAATAGAGCACATAGCTGAAAATCTGCTTGTTTCCACTGTTCAGCTTTTTCTTCCAGCACATGGCTTCCGTCTTTTTCAAGGTGGTCATGATGCCCTTGACTGAGAAACCACATTTCGACGGTAGCAGACCAAGATAGATAATTTTGTCTGTTTAGTTTTTCGGAAGTAATGGAGGGGCTTCCAGAAAATGAAATTGCAGCCATTTCGAAATTTGAGGGCCAAAACAGGGAGAGGAAGCTCCGACGACCCTAACAGAGGCAGTGCGGCGACTTTCTGACACGAAGGAGGCGGTGCGTGGATGACACGCGCCAGATGCAGCGGAGAAAGAGGCGGCGCGTGGCGGAGAACGAGCTTCCGGGACCGGCGGGGTTGGATGTCGCATGACGAGACGATTCAGATCCGGTGGTCGCCGGCGAAAACTGGACGAGCAGGACGGTGGCCGACGGGAGACGGTGGTCGACGGCAAAAACAGTGCCGGAGACTACAGAAACAGGCAGAGCGGGATCGACCTGCTCTGATACCAACTTGATATTCAAAAATAGAGAAAAAGTGTTTTTAGAGGGCTTGAAGAACCCCTCTCATAGTTCTCTATTTATATAGATAAAAACTGATACAATAGGGAGATTACATTACATGCACAGTCCTAGATTACTCCTCAGAACTAGGTGCAGAGATTATCTAACACTCAACCTCCTACCTTAGGTATAATGATTACATATATTTTCTAATCTATTCCAACAGAAACATAACCTATTTCAAAACCCCAAACATATAAATTCTTCTCCCAAATGCACCCTTAGTATCTTCTACCACACCCTTCTAGAGCTAAATAAAACAACAATAACCTTAGCCCTAAAACTGATTATTAAATTAGGGGGAAAATACTCTTTATGATTCAATTAGAATAGGCTGCAAACTGAATATACTAGCTGATTTTAAAATTGAAAAAACAAAAGATAATTTTCCAGCAAGATGCAATACATATATCCTTACGACATTTAACATGATATATGTCTGCAATTACCTTAAAGAAGTCTCTTTATTTTGAAGATCATAAGAATGTTTACATTGTGATTCCTTTACTTTACCATGTAAAGGTGTTGGTGACAGGCCACACAAATGACAATATCCATTCCTACCTGTAAGGACAATTACAATTGAATGCGTATGGTAAAAAATTAAACTAATATTAAAATTTTACAATCCATGGAAGGCAATCTAAAAACACTGTAAAAAGTTATAGGAGAATAAAAAAATGCATTGTGCTTGCCTGTGAAGGAAGCCAATTTCTCTAAACCAATAGTATTCTCATGATTCCCACAAATCCCTCTATTTAAAGGCAATTTCAATGTTGCACAAGTTCCCTGTTTAGATGTTGAAGCCTCATTCGTGTAATGCTGAACGTGTGAAATACTGTTGGATCCCCCTTGCTTCTGATTCATATTAAAATACAATACATGATGTTGTGTAGATAACTCTGGTATCTGAGTCATTGAAAGTAACCTCATGTTTTCAAGTAAATAAGCATCCATATTAATGGCCTGCTGCTGTGGCAAAGTCGGAGTCTGATTTGACACCGAAAGTGAAACATGATGGGGAAGGCCTTTCAAAATTCCTTTAATTGGAATGGATGTATGTGCATTCATTTGATTTTCTAGTCCAAGACATATTGTTTGAACCACGCAAAATATTTGCACCCACAGATGATTCTGATGGCAAGCTAGATTCATAATTTGATTCATACATCTTTTCATTGACAATTGAAATACAACTATCATAACCACCACCAGCTCTCATGATGGAGCTTGGATATTCCATTAACTGACTAATTCCAAATCCAGAATTTATTTTGGCACCAGAATCTTTGGCGAAGCTCACCCCTTTATTACTGTCCAAATATTTATTGGTCCCTACAACAGATTTATTTGACTGTCGTCCCGTGTGACCATAATCAGAATAAAATTTCTTATGAATGATAGGGCTGTAATCATTCCATAAATTTTCACTAGCTTGTGTCTTTACTCCTGGTGTATCAATTTGTGCAAATGGTGAAACTAATAAACCTTCGGCCACATTATCAGCTTCTGCTCTGGCTTTAGCAGAAGCCTTACTCACAGCTGACATATAGTTCTTGGGTTTAAGCTGAGGCAATTCTTCAACCATTTTAAAAATTATTCTGTAATTCCTCCTCCTTGCTGAAGTCTGCATCTAATGTACAAAGTACGTTGTTAAGACGTTTCTTCAAAATGAAAGAAAAGGAGAATACACTGAATAAATAATAGATAATAAAACACTCAAACAATCAGCTACGACAAAACATTGATTCAACGCACTGTTACTCATATGCTTCTGAGGTTGCAATTTTGGTGGACTGGGATCGGCATTAAACAGCAGTGGTTCTATAAATGAAGGAAGTGGATTTCCTGGCTGAGGTGGTTGACCAAGCCTAAGATCAACATTGGAAGAAGCTGCATCTCTGCCAACAAGACCATCATTTGCACTCTTCTTTTTGATGCAATCATGGTCTTTCAAAAGGCTCGTTGGAGTTTGCAAAGGAGAGTGGGCAGTTGACAAATTCCCTCTCGTTCTCAGAGAATAAAAAAAGGCAGGTATAGGGTGACAACCATCATCCGGTTGAGTTCCAACAAAATTTGGTGCAGTTGTATACATAGCCAGATTAGATTCCATTAACTGGTTTTTCAACTGATCATAAAAGCTGCTTTGTAAAATACCAGTAAAACCTTTGAGTGGAATGTGGCCACCATCTTTGATTATCGTTGGTTGTTTTCTGGACAACTCACCAATAAACAAATTGTGGTCCATATGAGAATTATTTGGAAACATGGCATAGTCAGAAGACTTTTCAGACCTTGACTTGACTGCAGACGAACTCAACATATGAGACAAATTAGTCTTGGACATATCAAATGCAGATGCATTGGGTTTCATCGGACTGCCTGTTGTTGATAATACTTCTGGCCAGTCCCATTCATTCTCATTTCCCAGAGACCTAATCTAAAGCATCATAAAAGTATCACCACCCAGTGTTCTCGTTGCTTCAAACACATGCAAATAAGAAATTCAATTCTCAATGCCAACAACAAAAGACAAGGTACAATGAATGCACAGTTTATCAAATTTACACACACATAAAGTTTAAATTGTGGTTCTCTTCTTATAAGCTAGACAGAGTTCAGATAAATAAATGTCACTGTCTAAGACAATACTACAGTGCCCTTATGAATGAATAATGAACAAGAATGAATATATCTATGACTACAATGGACAAACAAATAAGTTTAGCATATTTGTTTGGGTTGTCCGGTAGTCTGAAGTCCAGTATCTAAAGTTATTGTTGTTACTTTGTAGTTGCTATTCTATCCCCATGCGAACTGACTCACTGAATCAGAAATGGAGTTCATGGTTTGGTGGTATGAATGTAAATCTTTTGGGAATTTTAAAAATATATTTTATATATTTAAACTTTATTTCATGTTTTATAAAATGGTATTTTGATAAATTAATGTTTACAACCATTCTTTTAAAATTTCAAATTAATATTTAATTAAAGATGTCCTTAATACTTAATTTTCTTTTCCATTCATGATATCCATCAGTAAGTTGAATGCAAGATTTAATAGTTTGTACCAAAGGAGAAATTTTTGGCTTAGTTGTTTGCTTCCTTGTCTTTCAATGTTAGACAATGTGCACAAGGTAACCAGTGTTATGAAGGCAAGTTAATTTGAACAGTCAAACAATATTAATCACTTTCCTAACTCTTAAAGTGCTCCCAATATTGGAGGGAAGACAAAAATAGGAAGCGAGAAATTTAGCTCCGTTATGACCCTTTCCTTTCCCTTCAAATTTTTACACAATTAAGACTAGGAAAACCTTCCCACGTCTCTGTTCCTTCCAACCCAATACATAACAATAAAAATTAGTTGTTGTGCAGTAGAAACTTTCCAATAGAAAGGAGAAAAATGCAAGCACTGACTAAAATTTTAGGGACCAGAACATATGGCAACCTCCAAATCTTGAAGAATACAAAAGAAATTCATGATTCCATGCTCAGTGGAAAAACATAAAGGAAAGCACCAACATTCAGCACATTCATCAGAAGACATTTGAAACCCTTTAAAAAAGCTGGGGGAGGCGGGGGATACAAGCTTCTTTGATTAAAAAATTGTCTTCCATCTCTGATTTCATAGTCGTTACATGGGCAAAGGGAGGGGAATAAAATGACAACACCAAAGATAACAGCTCCTTGATAAAATCCCAATGGAATAATAAGAAAAAGATAAAGTAGGAACACTCATTTAAGACACAAGCACATACATCATATATCAAGAAACATCAAATAAATTGCATGAAAGCTACATCTTACCCCAAACTTCAAGAAGTAAAGCTTTCGCCATCGTGAAATGGTCTCCCCACTCTCCATACAAACAGCATCCCCTGGGTCTACACCTTGTAACCCTGAATGCTGCAACATCAGACCAGACAAATCATTAAGCATTAGTGGTGCAGAAAATGTGAAATTAACTGTTCAAGAAGGGTGTGATTAATCTTTCTATAGAGTAGAATAAGTTGATAGGATTTACCTCACAAAACTTAAGAACAGACATGTGGCAACAATGGCATGAGCAAACAACACCAAGAAGCCCTGTATGACTAAGAAGGAGATGGCCACCTATAAATTGACAATATAAATGTGAGTTATCTATACAAGTACCAAGGATAAATCTTTATTCAATAGGACATGATATGTTTCTAGCACTCACTTTTACCCATGCAGAACACACGAGGACACCCACTAATAAAAGGAGTTGCATAATTAGATGAGCACCGTTCTAAAACAATATTTCTTGTAGTCTGAATATTTGAGCAGCGAACATTTAGACTAGATGCAGGGCCTGTACCTCGCCACTGACCTGGAAAAGAAAAAGATTCCCTCGCTTTCTCTCCGCCAGGAACTGTGTGCTGAGTAGCAATATTGCTGCTCTGAATATTGTTGAAGACAGAATTACTACTATGATTCAAACCAACCATTGCCCTGGAAGAAATCTCAGGAAAATTGTTCACCCAACTTTGCAGGTTCCTGTTAATCAAACTTTCAGTTATCAACCCAACACTGGATGTTCGGAAGGTTCCACCTTCTATAGAACCAAAAATAGAATTCCCAATTGCAACAGTAGAATCACCAGATGATATGCAAAGCTTGCGTTCAGACAAATTCTGAGAATCATACTGAAACAAGGACGGAGGACCATAAAGTAGAGTCGGAAATGAATTTCCAGGATCTGCTTGGCCTGATCCATGGGTGGTTGAGAGGGGAAAGCTTGGGTAAAGAGGGCCTTGCTTCCATCCATCAAATTTTGATCTTAAACCAAGAGCAACTTGTGGATAAAGACAACTTGCATTCATATCCTTCTGTATAAAAGCAAGATAAACAGAGTTATAAAAATAGCAAGAGTACAAATAAAACATAATGATCTTAAAAGAAACACAAAATTTCTAAAAAGGCCAAATGCTATTAATGATGGAGTACATGAAAAGTTGGAGAGTATACAGCATAGATGCAACACGTGAAAGGATGCAATAATGACATAGATACAGGAATATTGTAAATTTTAAAAATGGGACATTAAATAACCTTAACACAAAATATGAAGAATTAAATTAACATTAAACACAAGCCTTAAATCAAAAGACAATCGCTGTTTTAAATTGAGCATTGGGAGCATTAGTTATTAAACACAAAAAATAAAATGTTACTACTTATCATATCTAGTCATTGTACTTGTAGTATTTTTATCTATGATGCTAAAACAGTTAAAAATAAAAGCAGAAAAAAAATGTAAAATGCATCTAGAATTATTCAAAGTGTCCAACATAGGTAAGTCACTATCTTTAAGTGTTCATACTCCTCTGGTTGAAGAAGATGAAAGTGTTAATCCCAAAGATGAAGTCTACAAAATCTTTCCCATCTCGCTCAAAACAATTTTGAAGCTACTAGTCAACAGCAGCCTCCACAGAAATACAAATTATGAACATAGGCCGGGCCACGTAAATAATTAACAAGTACTGCATTAAAGGAGCAGTGATGAGACCCAAAACAAACCAATTTAATAATAACAATTTCTGAAGTTGAATGATAACATATCCACTCCAAAAAAAGGTTATAAAAACTGCAAATTTCAAACTTAATGCAAACCCCCCTTTCTGCTCATCAGTTCATCACCAATGTCAGAAATATCCAAAACTAGACTGCAAATATTACTTCTCCATCATCAGAAAAGACATTATTAAGAAAAAAATTGAGGACATCAGGGGTCCCGACATCTATGTTCTTGCTCATAATATTTATTTTTGAACTTAAAACCAGAAAACCTGCAGAGCCCGAGCAAATACATTATTTGCAAAGAAAAGAGGCTTTACCACTTTCCTATGAAAGTTCTTGGTCGATAAATTTTACTACACTTAGTGCATCTGGTCAAGCTACTGTGATATCTCAACTAAAATTTGTTACAAGAGACAGCACATAATGTATCACTAACGTACACCACACCACATTACCAGTCACTAATTCAAGAAGTGTATATACAAGCAAACATAGACGCTTTCCAAGTAGATCCCATTCCCACTATTGGAATTTCGTAACGAACACAAAACCTTAATCAACATGAGACAAATAATTCCGCTATGCAAATCTGGACATAATACATTTACCTAGCATTGGTTCATATGAAAAAATAAAATAAATTAAAATAAGATAAAATAAAATAAAATTACACATCTAACGTAGTGACTACTAGTACTACTACTGTAGTATCTCAACTTAAACTTCAATAAATAATGCACCACTATTATACACCACATTACCAATTACAAATTCAAGGAGTGTATATATATGCACACATAGACGCTTTCCGTATAGACTCCATTTCCACACTAGGAATTTCGTAAAGAATCGAAACCTTAATAAACATGAGACAAAAAAAAATCACTATGCGAATCACGTGATACAGTACATAATTTCTTTACATAGCATCGGCTCGTATGAAAAAGTGAATATAATAATAATAATAATAATAATAATAATAATAATAATAATAATAATAATAATAATAATAATAATGATAATAATAATAAAAATAATAATAATAATGCAAACAACAAAATTTTGGAGAGTTCAAATTGTCATCACGGTTGAGCAATGCTAAAGTATATCGCATTGGAACAACGATGCAATTTATCCAAAATCTGTTATACATAAGAAAACTCACGAATTGTACGTTCATCATCGCATTAACTGCGTGTTTGGTATATCATGCAACACAACTCGACGCGCGTTTTTTTTCTAAGCAATGCATAGTAGCTTTCACGTTTTTTGTTAGGAAATTGGTACGAAAATGCGTAATTAACACGGAGCCAACACAAATAAACTGTAACGACCGAAACGCACAAGTAATCACAGTCACCGAAGAAACAGCTCAAACGAAAAATAATACGAGCAGAGTGAAGTTACCGGCTCCAGCGACGGTGCGGACGAAACCGTCGCGGACGTCGACGGCTGAAACTGTGAATCACAGTTCCTCTGCCACGCGCCCTCCATCGCTCAAAGTCCCTTACATTCGACGAAACCAGCAACGAGTCGTGGAGAAAAGCATTGAGGAAATAGCGTTACGTGTGAACGAGAATAAGGATATGAAGAAAATGCGAAGAGTGAGAAGTGAGAACCCTAAAGCGAAAGGAAGAGCTGAAGTTGTGAGCGCAGTTGGCGCAGCACCTGAGGAGAGTGTGGATAAAAGCGGGTGCAGGTGAGGGTGGAGTAATCCACAGAAATTGACACGAAAGGTTATATTTGAGGATTTTGGACCGTTGATATATATAGTATTTGAGGGGGGACCCATCGTGGACCGTTGATTGTGAATACAGCTGGTTTGGTCAGTTTGGGAAAGTGAATGGGCTGGGTTCGTGTGACATGCAGCAGCAGGTTTCACGGGGCAATTGGTGAGTGCCATGGCAATGTCTCTCTCACTCTCAGTGGAGGAGCAGTCTCGTTTCGCCAATCACATGTTGACACGTTTTTTGGAATTTTTTGTTGGATAGTAGGTTATTGCTTGGAGATTATACAAGACAATTGTTTGGAGATTATACAAGACAAATGTTTCCCCATAATCACTCTTGCCATAAACAACCATTCGTATAATAATATTATTTATTATTATGCTAATACTTTTAACTATTATTGAGTTATATGAGTGGTCAATTAATCACTCTTATTATATAAATACTAGATTAATTTGAATATAAAAAATTACTTACTTTTATAAATTAAAAATTATTAGCATTTTTTATAATTTTTATAATACAATGATTAAAATGAATTGTTATTTAAACTATTCAATTAAAAACAATTGAATTATAAGAATGAGAAATGTTTCTATTATAATTATTTCTAAAATAAGTGAAAAGCTAGTTTTAAATACAACGTGTGGAACCCATTTGTAATCATGCTATTTAAAAAATATATATTTTTTAATTCAATCATTTTACATTGAGTACTTTTATAATTCTAAACTTTTTAAATAGCATAATTTTATAATTTGGGTTTTCTATTATTCTCTAATTTTATTATAATTTTATAATTTTTTTTGTTCTTAATTTTTATTATTTATAAGATAAATTAACGACCTCATCAATAATAATCTATATGTGCTTGATTGGATTTGAATTGTTAATTTTGCTTTGAAATATAGAATTCAAGTCTTAATATGCTTATATAATAGTATTTATTAAAATTAAATTAACTCTACTTGTGATCAATCTAATTCTCCCATGTCATCTTTTTTTAATTTAATTTGTTCTGTGATGTTTTAATAATTACTCTGATAAAGTATTTTTATTCTTTTACCTTTAAAGAAAATACATGTGTTAATTTTTACTTAAACAACATTTTCTATAAAAACAATTGAAATAGATAGAAAATGGTATCTAAAGGAGGTAATTTTACAAGTTTTTCATATGAGTTGTTGTAAATTTCAATTCAAACAAATCAAAATTTATTGGCTTCCTTGGTTGAATTAGAAGAAAAAAAATGTCAAACTTAATTAAAGAAAAATAAAATTTATTTTTATCATTTTGTTTATGGTAATCATCATGAAAATATATATAAGATTATAACAAGTTGAAAATGCAAGGATATGACGACTAAAGATTTTGATGATGATTTAAAAACAAATGACTTCAAGATTAGAAGACTTATATTCATTTGAAATTACTTGTAATAACTCTGTTTTATCATTTTGAGTCTGTAAAAATAGAGTTCATAATAGTCAACACTTAGTCTGTCCACAAAAACTTCATTCTTATCAAGGTTGCACTAGAATAATCGATTATTACTGATGATAATCGATTATCCTGGATAAAACTTTAGCTTTCTGAAAGTTGCACTGGAAGAATCAATTATTGCTAATGATAATCGATTATCCTAGATAAAACTTTAGTTTTCTGAAAGTTGCACTGGAATAATCGATTAATGCTGGTGATAATCGATTATCCTGAATAAAACTTTACTTTTATGAAAGTTGCACTGGAATAATCGATTATTGCTGATGATAATCGATTATCCTGGGTAAAACTTTAGTTTTCTGAAAGTGGCTCTAGAATAATCGATTATCACTGATGATAATCGATTATCTGTGGCAGTTATGGATCTGAATTCGAAATTGGCTCTGGAATAATTGATTATCACTCAGGATAATCGATTATCCTAGACAAACTTGATTTTCTGATATTGGCTCTGTGATAATCGATTATCACTGATGATAATCGATTATATGTGTCAGTTATGAATTTGAATTTCGAATTTCAGACCTAATATTTGAAAACCCTAAAATCGGAAACCCTAAAACTTTATTTAAAGGACTCTCATGCTCTCAGAAAATTTAGACAAACCTTTTTCATACTCAGAAAAGTTAAGAGTTGTGATTGTTGTGAGAACTTTGAGTAGGGAAGAAAAAAGGGCTTTGAAAACCTAGTGTGGGCTAGAAGTGATAAGAATCATTGAGTGGGATTCTCAGTGGATTGAGTGTTGTGCCGTCTCTAGAAAAATTGTCTTCATCCTTTGTGGCTTCAAAGGAGGTGTTCATCTCTTGTGTGACTCAAGAGAGGTGTTTTCTAATCCTTTTCTATTTGTAATCTGTTTATCTGAGAACCATTATTTTAGTGATTGAGTTAATCCTCTTTTAGAGTGATTAACAACTGGACGTAGCGTCTTTTGATTCGAACCATTTACTTTTTATATTATTGTTTAATCGGTAAATCTTGCAAAAAGTTTTTTAAAGGGATAATTTTTATAAGAAACCAATTCATCCCTCTCTTAGTTTTTTCTTTAATGCAAACATTTCGCTGCGCGATACCAACAAGTGGTATTAGAGCTTGCTTTCATAGTTTTTCAAATTTTTCGAAAATGGCCAGACAAAACCAAACTTTTGCTAACGGTGCCTCTATTAAGAACCCCCACTTTTTACTGGACAAAAATATCCTTTTTGGAAAGTTAGGATGCAAATATTTTTAGAGTCTATTGACAGGGGTGTTTGGGAAGCTGTTGTAAATGGTCCTTTTATTCCTAAAATGATTGTAAATGAAGTAGAGGAACCAAAACCCTTTTCTAGATGGACTGCTGAGGAAAACAGAAAGACTCAATATGATGTTAGGGCTAGAAACATTATTTCATCTACTTTGACCCTTGATGAGTTTTGCAGAATATCAGTTTGTAAAAGTGCTCAAGAGATGTGGGAAATACTAAGAGTGACTCATGAAGGAACCGACGATGTGAAAAGAGCAAGAAATAACTCCTTGATTCAAGAATATGAAATGTTTAGAATGCAACAAGGAGAAACAATTTTTGACGTCCAAAAGCATTTCACACACATTGTGAACCATCTCTCTGGGCTTGGTAAGAATTTTGACATTGATGAATTGAATGTTAAAATACTAAAATCTTTGGATAGGAAATGACAACCTAAGGTGATTGTCACCACGAAGTCACGAAATCTGGCAACTATGACAATGACAACTCTCTTTGAAAAATTGAGAGAGCACGAGCTTGAACTAGGAATGTTGAATGAAGAGGAAGGCCAAAGTAACAAAAGAAACATTGCCTTCGAAACTGACGTAGTAAAAAGCAAGCAGAAAAAGGAAGAAGAAGTTTTTGATGATGAAGAAGATGAGAACTTGAGTCTCATGATTAAGAAGTTCACCAAGTTTATGAAAGCAAAAGGGAAGCAATCATTCAAAGGTAAGAGGAAAGAAAAAGAAGGATCTTCCCCAAATTTCAAATGCTATGGATGCGGAGAAACTGGTCATGTAAAAGCTGATTGTCCAAATAACAAAAGAGGTGATGATTTTAAAGGAAGAAAATCCTTCAAGAAGAAAGTCTGTATTGCTTGTGAGGAAAGTGACTCTAGTTCTGAGTCAAGTGATTCTGATGTTGAAGCAAATTTTTGCTTAATGGTAAACAACAGTTTCTCTTCCGACTGTGAGGTAAGTGATTCTGACTGTTCTTCCAGTGAAAGTGAGAATGATTCTGATGCCTTACATAATGCATATGAAGAACTGTTTACTGCTTTTAACATTTGAAATCAGAACATAAAACCTTGAAAAAGAATTTGAATAAATATGAGAAGGAAGTAGAAGTTTTAAAAATGAAAATGGTGTCTTTTGAAGAAAAAGAATTTGAACCAAAAGAGTGTGCATCATGTAAGAGCTATGAATTTGACATATGCATACTTGAGCATTTACTAGAAAATGCCACGAAAAATGTGGTTGATGTTAGAAAAGATGAAAATCAAAAGTTTGTGAAAACTAAAGGTAATAGTCATATTCTTTTAAGAAAATCTAAATCTAATCAAAGAACCCGTAATGTATGGGTTGTGAAAGGAACTGTACCTCCACAAAATAAAGTTAAATCTTTTTCAAAAATTAAATCCTCAAATGCATGTTTTTATTATATGAAACAGGGACATACTTCAAATAAATGTAGGATTAAGCATTTTGGTGTTCCTAAAGGGAAATAAATTTGGGTACCCATAGTTAAATAATTTTGACTATATCTAACCCCAAGGACCCAAAAGTTAATGGGGACCTAAGATCATTGTTTCCTTATGTTGTAGGAAAGTGATATGAAAGATTGAGTACTTTTCTATTATCAAATGATTTTTCAAGAGGAAAATTTGACTCAACCTTGTTTATTAAGAAAGTTTTGCAAGCATTATGCAGGGTAAATTTGAAATGTCCATGATGGGGGAATTAACTTTCTTCCTTGGACTTCAAATTAAGCAATTAAAATATGGCACTTTTGTGTCTCAAACAAAATACTGCAAAGAGATTCTCAAGAAATTTGGAATGGAAATTGCAAAAGAAGCTAACATACCAATGGGAGCATCCTGCTATTTGGATAAGGACGAATCAAGTTTGGAAATTAATCATCAATCTATGTACAGAGGTATGATAGGTTCTCTATTATACTTGACTGCAAGTAGGTTTGATATCATGCAATTTGTATGTGTGTGTGCTAGATTTCATGCTTGTCCAAAAGAATCTCATCTAACTACAGTAAAAAGAATATTAAAATATCTTAAAGGAACCATAGGATTTGGGTTATGGTATCCTTCTGGTGCTACACCTAGTTTAATAGGTTTTTCCGATGTTGATTATGGGGGTTGTAAGATTGATAAAAAAAGTACTAGTGGAACCAGTCATCTATTAGGATCTTCCTTAGTATCCTGACACTCTAAGAAACAAGTCTGTGTTGCTTTATCCACAACTGAGGCCGAATATATAGCGACTGGAAATTGTTGTACACAAATCCTTTGGATGAAGTAACAATTAGAAGATTACGATATCTTTCTTAGTGATATTCCTTTGAAATGTGATAATACAAGTGCAATTAATCTTACTAAAAATCCTATTATGCACTCAAGAACTAAGCACATTGAGATTAGGCACCAT